ACATTGTATAATTTCTTGTGCCTCAAGATAGTATTAGTCAAATATAAACCCACTCTCCTCCTTTAAAATATCTGCATAAACCCTGACTTGGCTCTTTATTAGTATAATCACAGAAAACATTTCTTTAAGGAAATTGAAGATTAACCTGTACACCAAATGATTTACTGAAGAAAATTTGACATTTTTCAACTCAGCTGGTACATTAAAAAGTAAAAGACTTCATCTGTAATTACGAAACAAAGGCAACCTCCATAATGCCAAGGTTCAAAAAAAAAGTATTCTACCATATTTAAAACATGTCCCTCTTTGAAGACTAAGTCAAGTAAAGTTCTTGTTCTATTAAAAATATATGTAATCATTTAAATGCTATGTTACAGTCACTACAATGTGTTTTGCCATCAGGCATGTTCAGATATTCCACAGGAATGTTAAATGGAACATCTACTTGAATGAAATGGCACAGAAGGGCAAAGTGAACAATGTGGGCTCCCCTGTCCTCTACAAAGGGGAATGCACAGTGTAGATGAAGAGGTGGGATTTTTTAAAATTTATTTATACAGTTTTTAAGGAAAAAGAAGTGTTTTATAGAACTATTTTTACGTAAGACAGACATTTGCACAACTTGCTGAAAAGAGTCACATTGGTAAAGATTCATTGTCAACAGCGATAAGTCTAGAGATAGAGAGAACTCCTGGGCAGTGCTCTCAAATTAACTATAAGTTATTTTTACAGGGGAAAAATGCCTTATGACTTTACATCAATCACAATAATTATCTCATTTTGGGGGAAAAAACCCAAACATGCATAGAAAAGAGGCACTTTTAGTATTTGATATCATTTGAATTCTACAGTGAGCAAGGTAATGTTTTACAAACAAAATTAAGAGTATCAGTTTACTAAAATTAATGTATACATTACAGAATTCTTTAATTAAAGGAGGCAAATATTTAGAAAACAAAGATCAATATTTGAAAGGTCAGAAGAAAAATAAAAAAAATTACCTATTCAATGTGTACCCTAGAGGCTACTCCTCCTTAGATAACAGATGAATATACATTTTTAAACATTTACATCATATATTCAAATATATCATTTGCTTCTCCAGTATTTGTTTACATATTTTTAAATTTAATAAGAAAAAAATTCACTTGCTAAATTAAACAACATTCTACATAACCTTTGGAATATTCATTATACCACCTGGATAGCAATTTTCAAACAGAAGAAAACTGCATAACTGCTACATTCCTGTGTTTCACAGACTTCATATGTGTTGCATTCAAGAAAAAGGTATGTAAATTCTAAAATAATTAAAGGATTACAACTAAAAATGGTATGAAATTAGCTTTATGGAAAACAGAAATCATTACTATCTTATAGGATGGTGTCAAAAATTAGCATCTCCAGTTTCAACAAAATACGGATTTTAAGAAACAGAAATTTCTACAATAAGGCAATCAAATGTACAACCCCTGTATATGTTCCCTAAGGAATCACAGTATGCTTAGAACTTCAAAATTCAACAAATAATTCAAATATGAAATATAGGCACAAAGAGATTCTCTATTCTTTTTAAGGTGAGAAACAGACTTAACAATTTAACGACACACTAATTAAAATGCCATGATACAGCAAACTAAGAATCTTTAATAAAGTAAAATACAAAGGTGCAGTATTAGGCAAATTTTTGGTTTCAAAATATATGCAACCAGTGGGCTTCTCCTTTTTGTAGTATTTCTTTGTACACCATCATTCCAATTCTTCCCAGTCATCAGTAAGATTACCTTTGCTCTGTCGTCGAATACTGACCAATTTTCCAGCTGACTTGATGCTCCATCTGGAGCTATTTCCTGAGCTGGTTAGAGTGGTATACTTAGTAGAGCCTTTAGTATGATCTTCCCAACCTGGCCAAGACAAATGGTCACTCATGGGGTCACTCGAATCAGCAGCTACATCTTCAAGAGCAAGTTTTGGAGGCTCCCAACCTTCAATTTCATCTGGTTTCTTAGACTGTGTACTCTGTTTCCAAACCAAATTGTCTCAAAATCCAGGTTTCTTCTCTGTCTTCAACTCTTCTTTTAATCGTGAATTAGCTCCTTTAGATTTGGGAGATTTACATCTTTCCAGTAAATGTTGTTCATCATCCTTATTAAACAAAGAAGTCACTTCTTTCCAACCTCAAAAACTTGATCCTTGAACTTGTGTGGCTGCAGAGGGTTGGCGGCAGCGGCTTCCCCTCCCGCAGGCCCTCCTCGGAGGAGGAGGAGGAGGAGGAGTTGCCCAGAAGCACTTTGCTCTTGTTCAGCTTCCACATGCTCTGGGGCGGGGTCTCCCGGTGTTGGAGGGTTTGGGGTCTGTCCTCTCCCAGTCCTCGGACGAGCGAGTGGATGCTTGCGGTTTACGATTTCTGCTCTGGGCCCCCACCACTCGACGCAGTTCCGACTGCCCCGAGCGCTAGTTGCTGTCCCTGCCGCCCGCCGGTGGGCTCAGCCATGTTAGCTCCGGGAGAGCGGCCGGCACGGCGGGAGGGGTCGAGAGCGAAAATTAAGTTTTATTGAGTGAAACTTTAGAAAGCAATGATTTTTCACAAGCATTTTGTATCTTGTTTGTATTTATCTATTTTTCACTTACACCTCCTCCACCACTTCAATTTATAGCTAAATAATAGTGATAAAAATATCATGAAGATAAAAAGTCTTTTAAAAAGATTTCTATAATATTTGTTTATCATCCACATTTGAGGTTTTTGTCTAAAAATTGTTTTATTTACATGTCTATTAATATTTTGTTCTCTTCAATTTTAAACTCTGTTAATCCTCTGAGATTGATTCTTTCTGTGTGTAAACAGTGTGGTCAATTCACAAAATAAAGGCTTAAACATTCCTAAAAAATGACCCAAAATTAATGACACACTGCACAGTTTGGATAAAATTAGAGCAAATTATGCTCAGTTACAAGTCAGTCACAAAATAACAACTATTGTACGTTTCTATGTGTCCTCAAGTCAAGTATAAGTCATAGCAACCCTATGATGAAATTATCCAAAATGACTGGAACAGCACATCAACAGAGCTGCCAGAAGTGAAGTCTGTGTTTAGAAGAGGTCATGATAACTAGGGATATTATAGGTTATGTGAGATTATCTTGGCTGAAAGCAGGGAGTACATGTGTTTCATTCACTATGTAAAGGCATTTGACTGTCTGAATCACAACAAACTGTGGCTAACTATGAGAAAAATGGTACCAGCAGCCAGGAAATTAAAAGACTTATTGAGATGGGAAAGTCTGTGGTTAGAGAAGGGGATTGAAAAGGTATGGAGACAGGATACAGCCCTGGCGTACACCCTTTCCAATTTTGAACCATGTTGTGTTTCCTCGCTCTGTTTCGACTGCCTCCTGGTCCAAGTACAGGTTTCGCATAAGCACTATCAAATGTTTTGCGATTCTCATTCTTTTCAGAGTTAGCCGCAGTTTGTTATGATCCACACAGTCAAATGCCTTTGCATAATCAATGAAACAAGATAAACATTCTTCTGGTACTCCTTGCTTTCAGCCAAGATCCATCTAACATTAACTACAATATCTCTAGTACCACAGTCTCATCTAAACCCAGCCTTCACTTCTGGTAGAAAACCTAGTGACTGGGGAAAAATATTTGGCAATGCCATCTCAGATAAGAGTCTCATAACAATAGTTTACAGAATACTAGTAGGCCTACACAGGAAAAAGGCCCCTCTCCAACATTTATTGCCTGCTGTCCTAGTAAACTTTATCACTGATACAGGGGTGAGTTGGAATCTAATTATAGTTTTGATTTACATCTCTTTCATTGCCAGTGATTTTGAGCAGTTCATTTCTCTGTTGGCCATCCAAATGTCTTCCTCTGTGAAAAGTCTCTCCATGTCTTTTTCCCATTTTGTAATTGGTGGGCAGAGTGAGGGAGTGAAGGAATTAGGAAAGATTCAGTGGAGCTCTGAAAAGGTAGAGTATGACAGGCATGAATCAATGATAGCCAATATTATAAAACACAGTGTATGTGCATGATATGTGAAGCACAGCATGAATGGAGAAATTAATATAAAATGCAAATAGAGAAATGCATGCAAATGAAAAACAACAATGTATAAAACTTTTGTATGTAAACTAATATAAAATTAAAATATTACAAATGAACAACAACAAAAAAATACAATCTTTCTCTTTAGCATTTAAAGAGGTCCATGGCCGCAGATTTGCTCTTTGGATTTCCTGGCTTTTGGCTTTAGATTCCTTGACTTCAGTAGAAGTTGATTGCAAATACAAATAAACTGAAATCTTTGATAACATAAAAAAAGAAATAATGTGGAACTCCAATCTGTAAATGGTAATGGAAAACAGATTTCTCTCCTTCCCTGAGTATGCCGTGAAGCATGTAGTAAAATCACAGGAAAGAAACTAGAGTTTGCTCATATTAGAGCAATAACTGAAGGCATATAACCCTGTCATAGAGGAGTGAGAAACATCCAGCTTTGAAGCAAAGGGGGAAGAAAGGTGATAAATAATCACCAATTCTACATGCATGGAAAGCAGGACTGTTTCACACGGTTTTCAAATATCCAGACCTGTAATCTACAGAGTCCCTGGAAGGGGTTGTTTGATCTATCAACTTTTCAGTGCTTACCATTTGTAAATGCTTATCACCCTGATCGTATGTTTATATTCAATATTACCAACAAATATACACTTGTTGTTGTTACTTATGATCAAGTTGGAACCAACTGATAGCTGATCCTCCAGAGGATTTCAGAGGCAGCAAATCTCATTGAAGACGACTACTCATTTTTCCCCTGAGAAGTAGCTGGTGGATTGTAACTGCATACTTTTGTGTTGCCAGAAAAATTCCTACCAATAAGCCACCAGAGCTCCATATACACACTGGAATGTATAGTATAAAAAGCTAAAAGGTTTATAAAGGCAAGAATTAGAAATGAAATATGCACAATTCTCCTTTAAGTAGATACCTTGAGGTAGTCCACTATTTTTCAACTCTGGTTCATTGACCTGAATTGTGTCGTCTTCAAGGTAGAAGTAGATTTTATAGCGTCTTATTCTATATAATTCTTGACGTTTATCAGGCACTTCATCTTCTACACAGGCATCAAAAGATAATACCTGTTGGAATCACAGTTAGAAACAAAAAAGCAAAATTAAAAATCCATAAAATGACCACAGGTATACTTTCTCAATATAAAAAAAAATGAGGGATTTTTTTCAAGATTTTCAGCACTTCATACAATTTAGGTTACAGTATATAAAAATTATTATAAAGATTTATCACCACCTGAGTGTTCTCGTTGTTGTTATGTGCCATCAAGTTACCTGCAACTCACAGAGACCTTATGTACAATACCTCTGAACCCTGCCCTATCCTAAGCCAGTCAGTCTCACTGACTCCAACACATCTAATTCCATCTCCCCAGTTACCATGTCAATCCATCTCATTTGGGATTTTCCTGTCCTGAGCTGTCCCTCCATCCTTCCAAGTATATGATGGACTTCTCCAAGGACTGGTCCCTCCTGGCCACGTGCCCAAAGTATGTGAAATGGAGCTTAAAAATCCTTGCCTCCAAGGAGAAACTTGGTTTCACCCTCTCCAAGACAGACCTATATGTTTTCTTGGTGATTCATGATATGTTCTAGTATTCATGGTTCATGGTTTATTCATGTGGTGCTCTTCTCCAGCACCACAACTCAAAGGCATCAATTTTTCTGTCTTCCTTAGTCATTGTTCAGTTGTTGTTGTACAGCATAGCAAGTAATAGTGAAGACTATGGCCTGCATCAGGCATACCTTAATCTCTAGACTGACATCATTGCTCCTCAGTACCTTGGAGAGGTCTCTGACAGCAGACTTTCCCAATGCAATTCGTCTTTTAATTTCCCGGCTGCTGGTACGAAGAGTGTTGATTGTAGAGTCAAGTAAACTAAAGCTGCCAACAATCTCAATCTCTTCACCGTCTATCATGATGCTGCCAATCTGCCCAGTGGTAAGAATCTCTGTTTTCTTGACGTTGAGCTTCAATTCATATTAAGGGCTGCAATCCTTGGCCTTCTGCAGCAAGCGCTTCAGATCCTCCTCAGTTTCAGCAAGCCGGGTTGTGTTATCTGCATAACCCAGATTGTGACTAGAATAGGTAAATTATTCTGGTGGCCTAAGTGGCAAGAAGCTGCACAGCAATACCAGAGGCACACAGTTCAAATCCACCAGATACTCTGCTGGAGAAGGAGGGGCAATCTCGTCCTGTACCAGTCAGACCTGATTTGACAGCACACACACAAAATAAAATAAAATATTTTTAAAAATTTAAAAAATAAAAAAGAATAGGTAAATTATATTTAAGCAATAAATTAGTTATCCAGCTCTACTACCAAGTGAATCAGAGTCTTTGGAATTTCACAGTGGGATTATATATGTTCTTTCTCACAAGATGAGTATCAATTTTGTCAATTTTATCCCTCCAATTAAAAATAACACAAAGCTATCTTGATTCTGAGATAAAATTAGCCTGACTCCTGGTCCCATTAATTGTTTGCCTAGAGGTAATTAAAAGTGGCAGACCTGATTTTTTTCCAATGAACTGGAAATCTTTCCTTATAATTATTTAGGCTCATTCAAGAGCCTAGCTTAATGCTAGACCTAGTCTCACCTTACACTGTGGGTAGGGATAGGTGAGGAGAGGAGAAGAGGCAGATACTAAAATAGGGTTACAATTATATATATATACCCCAGAGTCGGGGACGTGCCATCCTTTTGCCTTGGTACTAGTGGGGGCATGTCAGGGTAAATGCCAGATGAGAAACTGCAGCTGCAGTAGCTGTGAGCACTAAGGACGCTATGGCTGAAGGATCAGAAGCTGAGCCCTCAGGAACCAAGAGGTTATGGCTTCTTGAAAAGTTCTGGTATAAGTCTTGCAGTTTTCCCCCTAGAGGAACACAGTGTATATAAGGTATACTGACACAGTACTTTTGCTTTTATGCATACACTTATACCTGCATTTATATGCAATATATATATGCATTCATCCTCAGATATCATGTGAATGTCAACATTCACAAGAAAACAAAACTGTACCCAGGTTATACAATTCCGGAGACTGGAGAAGTAACTCCAATGAAAGACTTTCCTGAGCAACATCACTGAAGATTCCTTAAATATTTCAAAGGCTTATGAGCCTAAGTCCTACATTACCATATATTTTCTGGAAGAGTTATTTAATAAAGTAAACTTATATGAGTTTTTCAAAGATCAGATATATTTTAAAACATTCTTGAAAATTCTTTAACCATTTTGGAAGGTTAGCCTTTGAGTAGGTACAATGCTCTTCTCCCATGTGAAAGCAAATGATTGCCTTTAATAAAAATTAGAATCACAGGGAGGAAGTGGAAGGAGTGCTATTAGTGGCTATTGTAATGTTACAAAATGCAACGTGTATCAATGGTTGAATGGAAAACCAACAATATGTCTTGTAAACTTTCACTTGAATCATAATTTTTAAAAAACAGTTGCTGTTGAATTGATTATAACTCATGGTGATCCCCTGAGGTCAAAATTGTGCTCCAAAGTGTTTTCAAAGGCTGGTTTGGAGTTTCCGCCAAAAACTATTTCACCAGGCCTTTCTTCACGGTACTTCTTAGTAGACTCAAACCTCCAACCTTACAGTTAGCAGTCAAATATATCAACCTCTCTACTACCCTGGCATTCTGTACTTCCTTTACACGTCCTTAAAAATGTGATGAGTCCAGAGATCTTTGACCATCAAAATGGCAATTTACAGTTGCTTCTAAAATTGTCCTATATTCAGCTGCTTTCATGAGGAATTCATTTGGCCTGATTCAAGTCAGAGATTAGCTAATTTTCATTGTTAAAATGTTGTTATATTTGTATTGAGTATTCATGTGAGATGTTATAAGCACTAAACTATATATCTTTAAGTGGTCAATGGTTAATTTTATATTTCATGTCATAATGAATTTTATCTCTATAAAAGGAAGATATGTTGGCCATTCAGTTGCACAATTTAAAATGGTCAGTTTTATAAGATGTGAATGATAAAGCAATATGAGCAAGGATTGCAGAGATTATCAAACAATATCATTGATATCTCATGCAAGCAAGATTCTGTGGAAAATGATTCAAAAACAACTGGAGCAGTACATCAACAGAGAACTGCCAGGTGTGCAGGCTGGGTTTAGAAGAGGCTGTGGTCAGTATGGCGCCTTCTCAAAATGTTGCAAATAGAAATACCATTTGACCCAGCAATTCCACTACTTGGAATATACCCCAAAGAAACCATAACCACCACCCAAGGAGATATATGCACACCCATGTTTATCGCGGCTTTGTTCACAATAGCAGAGAGTTAGAAACAATCTAAGTGCCCATAAACAAACGAATGGATAGAGAAGCTGTAGTATAGTCACACAACGGAATACTACACTGCATTGAAAAACAAGGAACTCATGCAATATTATTCAAAATGGGTGAGCCTGGAGGACATTATGCTGAGTGAAATATCTCAGTCACAAAAGGACAAATACTACATAGTGCCACTGTTGTAAAATGGGACTGACATAGGGATTGGGGGGAGACTGAGAAAAATGAGATAAATTATGTATACTGCACTGAGACAGATGAGAGAGAACTGTTTAACAAGTATATATGAATACTTATTATTGGAATGACAAGAATCCAGAATAAGAGCTGCATAGAACTTTCTATCCAAAGAAAAAGGCAAACTGGGGCAGGGGGTAAGGGGGACATAGAGGAAAATGAGTAACAATGGATAAATGGAAATTTAAAAAAGCATATGATTAACCCTATTAATATCAAATAAAGTATATATTTAAAAAAAGAAGAGGTACGAGGGATATTATAGTTAATGTTAGATGGATCTTGGCTGAAAGCAGAGAGTACCAGAGGAATGTATATCTGTGTTTCACTGACTATGCAAAGGCATTTAACCATGTGGATCATAACAAACTGTGGCTGACTCTGAGAAGAATGAGAATCCCAGAACATTTGATAGTGCTTATGTGAAACCTATACTTAGACCAGGAGACAGTCATCAGAACAGAGCAAGGAGACACTGTTGGTTCAAAATTGGGATGGATGTACACCAGGGATGTATCCTGTCTCTATACCTTTTTCAATCTATATGCAGAACAGATCATCCAGGAGGCTGGGCTGTATGAGGAGGAATGTAGCATCAGGATTGGAGGAAGACTTCAACAACCTGTGTTACGCAGATGACAAAACCCTGCTTGCTGGAACTGAGAAAGAACTACAGAATGTCAAGGACTTCAGCTTTCAATATGGATTGAAGCTCAACATCAAGAAAACAATGATTCTCACCACTGGGCCAATTGGCAGCATTATGATAGATGGTGAAGAGACTGAGATTGTTAACAGCTTTAGTTTGCTTGGCTCCACAATCAATACTCTTGGTACTAGCAGCCAGGAAATCAAAAGATTAATTGCATTGGGAAAGTCAGCTATTAGGGACCTCTCCAGAGTACTGAAGAGCAAAGACTTCAGTCTGGAGACTAAGGTGAACCTGATCCAGGCCACAGTCTTTGCAATTGCTTGCTATGTGTCAGAGAACTGGACAATGCCTAGGGATGATAGAAAGAGAATTGATGCCTTTGAGCTGTGGGGCTGGAGAAAAGTGTTGAACATACCATGGACTGACAGGAGAAAAAAATCAGGTTTGTCCTGGAAAGGGTCAAATGAGGCTGCTCCTTGGAGGCAAAGATTCTGAAGCTTCCTCTGGCATACTTTGGGCATGTTGCGAGGGACATCATGCTTGGAAGGGTGGAGATACAGAGAAAGGAAGATCATTGACGAGATGGAGTGATTCACTGACTGGGGTAATAAGGGTAGGTATGTTAGAGACAGTAAAGTTGGCATAGGATAGAGCAAATTTCAGGGTTATTATACTTAGGGTCGCTATGAGTCGCAAGTGACTTGCTGGCCCATAACAAAAACAACACAGTTATGCTGTTAGAGCACCTAAAAAGACTTCACTGACCTTCTAGTACAGGTAGCATTCAATATGAGACTTTTTTTCCTTTGTAACTGAGTATAAAATAATACTCATAGTTCTACCTCAACTC